GTTTTCCTGTTTTGGACTAGAAGTCTAATTAAACAAACACACTAAAGAAAGAAAAGAAAACTTACTTAAGACTTGAAGATTGCTTGAATATGTACACTTTAACTTTTATTGATATATAAAATGTTTACAAAGATAATTGTTTACAATAAAGTGTTTACAAGGAAGTGTTTACAAGGATGCTATGAAGGCTACAGGTGAAGATGGGGTGAGTATATGGTGAGAGTAGAATGTTCAGGTGTTGAGATGTTGAGAGATGATTTTTACAATGAAAGGAATTTTTCTTTATATACACTGAATGATGATACTAACATACAAAATTCTTTACAATTGAATGATGTGCATTATCTTCCACTTTTTGACACTGTTTCTAAATCTGTAGACATTGTTTATGATTCTTACGGGATCTTGTCTTTTCTTTATTTTGCTTTCATAAAGGCCATGTGAACCTATATGAATCTTCCTGCATGGTTTGTCTTCTGGAGCCCGTGCCCTTACTTTATCATTTTGCATTCAATTGTTGTCTAAAGGTTTTCAAAGGTTGCTGCATGTTTTGTCTCCCTGGAGCCTTCTTTTGTCACATTTCTTATGCCCAGTTTGGGTATTATCAAAAAAATTTATCCCGATGATTAAAAGGAAAGTTTCTTGGGGGTTTTGGATAGTTTTCCATATTATATATAGCAACAACAATATCAAAAGCAACAACATTAAGGGAAACATATATGGTCTTATTTGGTAAAATATCTTTTGATAATAACCTTGTTATGGTTTTTAGTGTAGAGAAATTTAATTCGTTTTTGACAATGTAGAATTTTAGTTTAAATGACCGTTATTTTAAGCGCGAAAATTTAAACATAAAAACGTAAAACGGCAGACACACAACTATAACCAACTGAACAAATCGAGTCTATTCAACTTGGCAATTCTCTTCAGTAGTTCAGTTGAAAAACACAATTTTCAATTTCAATTTTAAACATAAAACTACAAAACAAAAGGCAAAAACGTTTAAACAGAAACTTTTTGAATTTTGAAATAACCCCCCAAACATCGACAGTATAAGCGCGCCTCCCCACAAAAAGCCTGTATCTCTCTCCGTGGTATGTATATAAATGGTTTGTTGTGAAGCACCAGAGACGTTGAGAGAGAGCAAGCGGAAATTGGCAAACGCTCTCAGATCCGTTGCAAATTTCAATTCAAATTTCCATCTGTAAGCTCCCTCCCTCCTCGTCCCTCTTATCTGTTTAATTAAGATCAAGATTCTTGTATGGTTTATTTGTTTCACAGATTTACTGCTACTGCTTCTAACATTGCTAATCAGATTGGATAGTTGTTTTGTGAGCTAATTTTTGAATGGGTTTTGATTTTGTTAATCACTTAAGGTGGAACCCTAATTTGGGTTCATGCCGAAGTGTTCTAAATCATAGCCTTTTATCCGGGTTTTATAAGTTCTAATCTGAGCTTAATCCAGTCTGCCTAATTGATGTAATTTATCATTTGAAATATAGTTAATTTCCTAATTGTGTTATTAGCTTCCTTGGTTTCGGCTACAAGTCTCACAATGTGTAGTTTCAATAATTTATTTTTGCTTTTCAGAATCTTGTTTCAATTACCAAGTCATATTCTTTTTCTGATTTTCGGATAAACCCTTGTTGGATTCCCCCTTTTTTGTTGTTGATGTTTATCTCAAATGAATTCCCAAGACAGGGAGCATTGTTTGATTGTTGAGCACAAATAACTGACCTCAAGGGCTAGCCTTAGATAGCTTCGATGTCATGTGAATCGCCTTGCCCTTCATAATAACTGGCTATACTTAACCAATCTAGTTTCTTTCTCAAATTTTACTAATTGTGTAAAACTGTAAGCTTTTGTCGAATTATTTTCCTTGATTTTATTATGTTTTCATAATGACCGCTAACTGTTTGATTGCTGTCCTCACAGAATGGACCCTCTGCCTGATGCTGTTGTTCAATACATATTGTCGTATATGGAAAACGCCAAAGACGTTGCAATTTGTAATTGTGTATCCAAGCGATGGAAGGACTCAATGCCTTATATAAGGAGCCTTTACTTCCCCAGAAGCTCCTTTGATAGCCATATGGGTGGAGACAGTCCTGATGACATTGTATTGAAGATGGTTTCAATGATTGAACGATTAGAAAATCTTGTTGTTTATAGTCCCTTCTCGGGTGCTGGCCTTGCTTCTTGGTTATTGATCATAGGTCCCTCTCTTAAGTATCTGGAGCTTCGAATGGACAATATTGCTGAATATCAGACCTCTCTTGAAAGCCCTTCAAAACTGGACTACTTAAGTGCTGCAGAAAATTTGGAGTCTTTAAAACTTTGGGGAGTTTTAGTGGCCCGTTCCCCAAAGTGGGATGTCTTCCAGAAACTCAGGAACCTTGAAATTGTTGGAGCGAAACTGGAGGATCCTGCATTGTCAACTGTGCTTCAGGCCTGTCCGAATCTTACCAATTTGGTGTTACTTGGTTGTGAAGGAGTGAGATCGGTTTCAATTGAGTTGCCATATTTGGAGCAGTGTAAGCTGGACTTTTATGGCTTGGGCAACTGCTCATTTTCCATGGGGTGCCCAAAAATTAAATTCCTTGAGGTGCAAGGCTGTAGCTGGATTCGGGTTCGTGACACAAAGCTTTTGAAAAATCTTTCTATTGCCAATAATGCAGGTAATGAGTTGTTACAAGCTCACCTTTGATGACTTGAAAAGTGCAGTATATATCGGGTGCGTTTAGTGTCTTGTTCCCTAATTGTGTGAATCATAACAATCGCTCATTATCTTTGTGTTTTCTGGTGTGTGTTTAGGGAGAGTCTACATGGTTGATTTTGAGAAACTTGTCGCTCTAGAGTTCTTATCAATTAGGGGAGTCCAGTGGTGTTGGGACGCAATAAGAAATATGCTTCAATGTGCAAGTGAAGTGAAACACCTTTCATGAAGGTGGAATTCACAGGGGATTCTGAGATCCTTCAACCCTTTCCAGAGGTTGACTTCGTTGATTTCTTCAATAACCATCCCAAGCTGCAAAAGTTTGATATCCATGGAGCCATGTTTGCTGCCCTTTGTCAGAAAAACAGCCTGAAAAATGTAAGTTGATACTATTTTGTAATTTTAGTATTTTAATTTAGGTCGATCCTCAAATTACAATTGAGTTTATATATACTTTTTTTTTTCAGGTTGATTCAGGATTTTCAATTCCTTGCCTGGAAGAAGTGATGATCACAGTGAGATCACCGCTGAATGCTGAACAGAAAATGAGCACTCTTGAGTCCTTGTTGAAGTACGCGAAGAATCTGAAGACAATGGTGATAAAGATTCTTCAGATGAAGAGCAGTCATAGCAGTGCAGATGATTTCTTCGACGAGATTTGCAGGTTTAGACACATGAACCGAAAGATCGTTAGAATAGAATAACAGCTTCCTTTGGGAACTTACTCAATTTTCCTTCTTAATTCATACCATTGCTTTAATTCTCCGATTGATTACAGCATGACTGCTAATTTGGTTGAACCGTGCTCGTCATTGATTGAATGGATTCAAATTTCAAAATTCAGATTGAACTCATTAATCAACTTTGCGTATGATTTTGCTGTCTTAAATTTTATATGTATGCGTTTGCTATATTTTTCATGCAAGTTATGGACGTAATAGTTCTCTGTTGGGAAGTTGAATCCACGAGAAGCGACTGGCTGTATTGTATGTGCCAATTGCCATTTAGCTAATAAACCCGTGGATATCGAGGTTCCACAAGCGGTACTTCCTGATACTGTATTTGAAGCAGTTGTTTGAATTCCTTATGATTTGCAATTGAAACAAGTTCTTGCTAATGGTAAAAAAGGAGCTTTGAATGTCGGGGCTGTTCTTATTTTACCCGAAGGGTTTGAATTAGCCACCACTGTGTGATGTCTTGTTTATCCGCCTCTTCTTCCATTGGAAAAAAAGAGTAGTACCGCTAGACTAAGAGCGAGTTGATTGGCTTGCACAATATCTCGAGCGTTTTTATACCATGTCGTTTCATTTTATCTTGTCGCGACTAAAGTTGAAGGCAAATTATGAATCTTCCCTATGAATGACTTCAGTTTGAGAGTTTTCAATAATTTCATTTGGCCCAGGTCATAAGGTGTTCCAATTAGTTTTTAATTTAATCGTACTTTATTTTTCGATGAAAGAAGTTCCAAATTTGAATTTTCATTCTCTCGTAATGATATCAAAACTCGAAACTGAAAACAGATTTGTGGCAAACAATCACGCTAAGCCGCCAAATCTTATCGTAGCGAAATCTTAGGTTTATGCCGTTATATAGGACGGAGTACCGTTCTATCACAATTAAGGTTCATTAAGTAGTTATTCTTTGACAAAGCATGCTTGATTTCTTGGCCAACACGACACATTTATGAACCTTTAACAAAACCATGTAGCGAATGCCTATCAAATTCTCAATTACCAAGTAAACACAAGAAATTAGTATTTAAAATATCGATATAGGTGAAAATATCAATATGCAAAGTTATGAAAATATCGATGGATTATCGGTATTGATATCAGTTGCCCTTACGGAAACTATGAAAGTTTCAATGGGGTGTGTATATCAACTTATTCAGATTTAGTCCAAATTAAAGAAAATTTTCTCAAAAACAATTAAAAAATTCGAAATATGCATTGGTTTCCAATTTATGTAATGAATTAGTAAATATTGCCGATATTTATTAACTTTCTTATATCTTGTCGATATAGAGTGAAGTTTGCATTTCACCCTCATACAATATCTATCCTTGATTTTTCGGATACTTGGATGAAAATATCGACAATTTTGTGAATATTTTAAACACTACAAGAAGCTCAAACTATCAATAATATTGCTTTTCCTTTCTCAATACTTTCTTTCGACGAAAACTGGCCGTCTATCTGATCATAGTTTACATTACGTTTGTATTAAAATTTGCATTTACTATTTACCTTTCTTCTGTCTACAAAGATGATCGGAGTTGAGTACTTCAAATAATCTTCTTCTTTCGGAAAAATCTCTTCAAGTGCCATAGCTGCAGACATGAAACTCCAATGCAGAGGCTCAACGACATCATGCTATACCGTGCCACCCTCGAGTTAGTTTGTTCGCTCAAATTCCTCCTTTCCACTTCTCTGTGTATATCCAAAATAAATCACCACAGAAATCGACTGGAATTTCAATGCATTCTTATTAGGAAGATAACATTTACCTGGCCTTGAGAAAGCGTTGATACAGGATGACAGCAATCACTAGTTGTTCAAGTTTCCGTAGTTCAAGCTCAACACCCTGTATGTGGGCGGATACTCGGAATAAGTACAATTAAAGATAACGATGCAAGGAAAATATAGAAGACATTAGGAGGTAGGGTTTGCGGAAATTTAAGTAACGATGACATGGACGAGCATAACAACTCTCCTAAACACCACGTATGTATTGAATCCATATACACTATTACCCCAAAAATGTGTATGCATCAGCTTCCAACTGAAATTCTGCATATAATGTGACATTCGGTCCTTTCTAGTTTGTAACATCGTTCACGTATCAAACGGAAACTCTCATCCCTATTTAAAAGGTCGTACCCAGTGCACAAGGCTCCCGCTTTACGCAGGGTCTGGGAGAGGTGAATGTCGGCTAGCCTTACCCCCATTTATGGAAACTCTCATCCCTATTTACAGGTTCAAATTAGAAATCCATTTCATTGGCCATCAGAAACATTAGGTTTTGATTAACTTTTCAAAACAGTTGGGAGTTCACTGTTGCTAAAATCTTACCAATCACAGAAAACAGTTAAGTATAAATGAAAAATAATATGTGCAAAAACATTTGTGATATATCATATATGTATGTAAGTTATTATAAGAAAAAGTGTTCTTCGAGCGCTCACCTCAATCTTCTCTTTTCTTGCTACTGAATCCCAATCCTGAGCCGCAATTCCAATTTTCCAGTCAAGGTTGAGACTTACTGAACTACCTTCATGTTTGTTACCATCAACCGAAAAACAAGCCAGGTAGGTGCCAGACTCTTGAGTTGTGAAGGCAAACTGACCATCTGTTGCATTCTCCCTGTGATGAAGATTGTTCCCATATGGCGATGTCACCTAAAGAAGAAAGAACATGAACCGCAAGTCACACGAAAATCACACTAGATCAAATATGAAAATATAACTATGCAAGCCAAATGACAGAGAACTCGTCAATGCAATCGCTTTCCCAACAAAAGCTTCACTTCTAGTTCACTAATTTCCCCTTTTCATTTTAGAGCACTTATAAACAAGTGAAAAATCTACAGCTTGATTCACTTGACAGCCACAAAATAATTTTCCGGCTAAGTCTCTCTCACCAAACATCACGTGGTAAAATGTTTGATTTCTTCAGTGTAACAATCTGAATCATCTACTGTTCTGAAAAAAAATGGTGTATCTTTTTCATGTTCACTAAAAAGGTCGTACCCAGTGCACAAGACTCCCGTTTTACGCAGGGTCTGGGAGAGGTGAATAAAACGGGAGCCTTGTGCACTGGGTACGACATTTTTAGTGAACATGAAAAAGATACACCATTTTTTTCATGTTCACTAACTTCGAAAATTTTATTTACAGTTTAGCCTAGCTAGTAGCTACTAGTCATTGTGCAAGGTCAATGTCCAACGAACCCTGCATAGACAATTGCGGAACAAAGCGATTATCTTGACACAAAAACACATAATTGTTCGCGTTAAATTACCGGTGCAGTAAGCGTTGGCAGCTTGATGTACCGGAATCTGTTTACGTTTCAGCAGACAATGCTCAAAGTGAAAGATACCGTCGAACCAAAAATCACAACTACTGCAAAAATATATATATATATACATCCACACTATGATGCACCAGTTGCTTCCATTTTTTTTAGCAAAAAAGCGCATCGAGTCGACAAATGTGACACGAGCTAACTCATCATCACATTGCATAAAAATTTGAATTTCTCCCTAAACCCTAAACCTTAAACCCTAAACCCTAAACCCTAAACCCTAAACCATAAACCATAAACCTAAAAATAAAAAAAATCTCAGTCGTATAAATTTTCCAGTAAGAATATTTTAAAAGTAAAAGGGGAGAATTGGAGTTGAAGCAGACATTGACGGAGATGGTGGAGGAGTGGTTGTGATCATGGGAGATAACGCCGTAATCGCCCAAAACGACGACGTTGTTCTGGATTTCTTCAGAGACGCACTTGGTGTCGGAGGAGGGTAATTTCATCCAAATGGCTTCACCAGTCGGCACCACCGAGCACGCGATCAACAAGAGGGCCGCGGCCAACACTGTCGCACTTGTTCTCGTCGGCATCGCCGTCGTAACACCTTTGACTTGATCCCCAAGAAATCAACGTGTATTAAATTTTGGGTTTGCTTGTTTTTCAAAACGGAGGAACTACTTGTACTGCTAGCTCTCCCGCTCTTGTTCGGAAAGGGCTACGTTTGGGCCCACCGAATGACAAAAAAAACTACGTCGCATGCATCTATTTGACACGTATTAAATTTTTGAACACGTGTTCAATATTTATTGGTCGTCTTAAAGTGACTACAGGAGAAAATAGTGTAGGTGAAGAAATTTTTAGTTGTGATAGAAACACAGATGGTAAAAGACATGTTTTTATGTAAGTAGTGAAAAATTTTAATTTTTAAGTTATTAACCTTTTAACACACATAACTCACAATTTATATAGGGACACGTGGTGTACCACCTCGTGTGACGGTCACACTGAAAAATCTCTCGTGTAGGTGGGACAAGGTGTATTTCTCTTCCACCCTCCAAGTTTCTCTCTCCTTCAGTATTCTATTATTTAAATGGTCAATATTAAGTCACGTCAGTATCTGATGTTACTTCTTTATAGAAAGGGAAAAAAAGGAAAAGTGAGAAGAGGGGAAGGGAGGGAAGGAAATTTAGAGGGGAGAAAATCCTATTATGGTTGGACGACTCCTCTAATCCTAACATTCCATTTGAGAATTTCTCTCTCAATTAAAAGATCCGGCTACAATGTGATGTCTCACTCAATGATATAAATTGTATGAAAGATTAAACCATTGCAAAAATTTATTAGATCTCTGTATGCACACTCAAATAGTTATAAAGATCCACTAGAAACCTATATACAAGATCTAATTGTTAATTTTCAAAACCACTCGGTAGCACATGTCACGGAAAAAAAATTGTCAACTAAAGACCCAAAAGTCAAATGGCCCGTTCGAAAGTGTTTTTAAAACAGCTGAAAGTGCTTTTGATGAAAAATGTTTCTAGAATCAATCCTTAGAAACGCAAGTGAATCCTAAAATTGCACTTGAAGTGCTACCTTTAAAACCTAAACACATTTTTCTCTAAAAACTTTTTTTTTTAATTTTTAAATACGCTTCCAAACGAACCCTAAATAATATGTTACCATCAACACAAAACTCATTGCTAATGCGGTATTCATGGACTTTGACTGTGTTGGATGGTTGTTTTGGGTGCGATCCTTTTTAGAGAGTGCCTATAACATCACAACTCACGCTGAGACACAATTCTGTAATTAGCAAAATAATCAGATACTACTTAAACGAATGGATATCAATTTCCAAGTTAAACTAAAATCTGCTACTGTTTTGCGTTTCATAGTTCTCTTCCGTAAAGGAAAACACGAAAACTGAGAGTACGTGAAGTCGTAGTTTACATTACATGACATTCAAATTTTGCTTTCTCAATATCATTTTTCATCTACAAAAAAAAAAAAAAACCTGGAGTAACATCACTTAAATAAGCTTCTTCTTTTGGAAAAAATTCTTCAGGTGCCATAACTGAAGGGTCGAAACAATAATGCAGACGGCCAACGACATCATGCTAAACCACGCCACCCGGGCATTTGTTCTTTCGCTCACGTCCCTCATCTCTGATTCTCTGCGTATAAATCCAAAACAGAAACAAGGAATAAATGACTGCACAAGTGAAGCACATAAAATGTTGAATGTATCCTTATTATTATGCAAATCTTACCTGCCCTTGAGATAAAGTAGATTCTCGTGGATGGCCTCAACTGCTCCTTCGAGTTTCCGCAGCTCAAGCTCAAGACCCTATATGTGGGAAAGTGTGGAGTTATGTATGGTTGTTATTTATATGTGGGAAAGTACATATGTCAGAGTTATGTATGGCTGTTATTCTCATAGTGGCATTTATGTTTTGGCCAGAGTTAAGTTGAATTCGAAGAACTGTGGAGAAGCTCAAGACCCCATTAGGTTGTCCGCGTAGAACTTGCTTGTGCACATTACTTCTCAGGGATTGACCGTGTGAGTCGAGCAAATTAAGCTTTTGTCTACATGTTTCTAACATGCATATGGTCTTGGATGAACTCCATTGCATGTTAAGTTGGATGCCCATTGCCCAGTTACATACATGTGTTTGGTTGATTTGATGCCAATTAGATTAGTTAATATTGTGTTTCAGAGTAAGAATTCTGCTAAAAAAACCTACCCTAGCTAGGCTGGTTATAGACTTATTGATAGCAATATGCAACAAATGCGGAAATTTCAAGCAGATGTGGGTGGATAAATTTAAAGAAGCCGAAGCAAGGGTAAGGATGCAAAAGAAAATTTAACAAGGATCTATAAAAACTTTAGTAACAATAACCATATGACTGCATCGACAAGCCCAGCTAATGGTCTCTAGGTAGTATACCTTGCACCCAAGGGACCAACCTTCTAGGTACTCAGCATACATACACCATTACAGATACAGCATTGCGCAAGGGTGGCTGTTGAGTATGGTTATGGTGGGCTTCGGAAGAAAATTTTGAAGAAATATAATTCTTTCAGAGAATGCAGAGAAGATGGAGAAGAATTTAACAAGGAAGAGGAGAGGTGCAGGTGGTAACAAGGCACCAACCGTTGAACAGTACATAACTTTCACATACCAATCCGTTTAATCCCAAGGACTCATAAATCATAGGAAACCTCTGAAACTTTAAAGGCTGTGTTTTCTTAGGCCCAAATAAATAGACTTATAGATAACAATCGATCCACTAAATACTCTAAACTTGAAATATTTATTAATTATCATATTTCCTTTTCTGATTCTTACTAACACGCGCAATTCTCTTTAGACCAGAAATCCCCTATTTTTCTAATTTGGGCCAGTGAGCTTAGTCTTGGGCTTCTAAAGAGGATATGGCTTTTTCAACCAATTAGTAGTTACTGCATCCATTATCCCAAAATACATGTATGTGCTTCAGGTTGCATAAGAACTAAAGAAAGTTCGTGAGTATAAAATGAAACTTTACTCCTTTCTACCAAAGTTCGACATATCAAGTTCCTCCCTATATTATAAATTTATAATTGATATATTCTAAATTATCACAACACAACTTTTGATATTAATGAAATGTTCTGAATTCTGCGGACATGATTGTGCTCAGCAGGCATTTTTGAAACTTAAATACTCTTGTAAAGCAGTTCAGAATCTTCAGATTACAGATATGTAGTCACATGTATCAACAACTTTTAACTCACAAATTCATTTCTAATATTATTTCAGACACCAAGTTTTAAAAACCTTTAAACATAATACTCAGTTCATGTCCATGTCCCAGGGATTATAAAGTGTTACCAATAATAGAAACAATAGAAAACAATGAATGATGAATGTTCTATACACTTACATATCTAAGTAAACTCTATAAATTATGGCAGTGCTTACCTCAATTTTCTCTTTTCTTGCTACTGATTCCCAATCCTTAGCTGCAATTCCAGTTTTCCAGTCAAGGTTGACACTCACCCCTCCACCTCCAGGATTGTTACCATCAACCCAAAAGCATGCCAAGTAGTTTCCAGCCTCATGAGTTGTGAATGCAAACTGACCGTGTGTTGCATTCTCCCTTTGATGAAGATTGTTCCCATACGGTGATGTCACCTAAAGAAGAAACAAGAAGTACTATGAAATGTGCTAAGAAAGCAGAACAAAATCTAAGACGAAAAGATAATTATACAAGACGGTAGAGCACTTGTCAATGCTTTTGAACCTAATTTGTAATTTTCCAGTACTGTTTCCTTTAAAGATCCAAAGGAGTTATCATATTGGGAAATATAATGCTCAATTAACTTGACTACAATAGGCACTTCGCCCTCAAAGTCACTTATAATGCTTAACCACCCACTCCGACATCAACTTACAAGTTTGAATCACGTGCAAATATTTGAGGTAGTAAACTAATATAACTTTGCCAAGTGCTACTATTAGAACTTTAGAGAAGAAAAACAAATAAATGTTAATATAGAAAAAATCCAAATACAGCGGATAGACCACCTTTACATTTACTAGAAATGACTTAGATGGCCAATGGTCTTATTGTTAACAAATGTAATTATTGGTCTACCCCAGCAAAAGGTGTTAACGTGACTCTGCAGCCCAACATGCAGATCAAAGCAATGGCCTTGACAGTGAAACCCCATTTCTAGAGCATAGAAAGGTAAAGGACTGACCACATTAAAAAAGGTTTGACAAGCAACAAAACATAAGAGTAGAACATATTCCAACACAAATGATAACCACATTAAAAAAGGTTTGACAAGCAACAAAACATAAGAGTAGAACATATTCCAACACAAATTATCATTACTACATATTAAATTTCCCTTTTCGTTAACTTTTACACAAAGACAAAAGCCAATGAACTAAACATTGGGTAATGGTTGGCAGGCTTAAAGCTGCATTCTCCCTGTGACAAAGAACGCTCCCATGAGGTGATGTCACCCAAAGAAAAAACAAGAATAAAAAACCTAAGACGAAAACACATTGCTTGTTTGGTGCCCATGATTGGATTGGATAACTCACTAATCACTATACCCATACTCAGGGTATACTAATGGAAGGAATGAAGAAATTGTGTAGCTTGAAGGTAGAAGATGAATTACACATACTTTTGAATCCCCACAAAATGGTAGGACTCGAAGGGATAAATTTCCAACATGTCTAATCCCTTGTATACCCAGCAAAACGAAAACCCTACCTTCAACATACCTTGAATTTTACGAGCAATCCGAATCTTAATCACCAAACGATCCCATGATATGCAAGTCAAATGACAGAATTTATGTGCCCCTCCACTTACTCATAACAGGCTTTCCTCGCTAAACAAGAAAGAAGCTGCTAAGGTTACCCAATTCGTTCTATCATGGGACAGGCAGGGTTTCGCACTAAGCAAGTAAACTACCTTTATCTAACTGAGTTATCTTGCCATGTGAGACATAGAAGGATTATCTCATTAACTCATTCAATCTCGCCCGTCGATGTAATTACTTTTTTTCGATAATAAAAACTTAATTTCCAATTCTCGGGTTCTTTCCCGTTTAGCATTCTACAGCAGGAGTTTCAT